ATTTTTTGATTTAGTTCTTGTCTTTCAAAGTCTCCCATTTTATCTATTAAATTTTTTGCTTTTGTCCTTTTCAAATAGCATTTTTGAAGGGTAGAACACTCGGGGAAAGTACCTTTTAATAAATCAATCAGATGGTCAAGCAGTATTAAAAGGAATGTTATGTTCTACAAAGAAAAAAAAATGTGAATTTGATTTCCGTTACAGTCACAGCATCGTCGTCGCTGAAGTCCTTGGGTTGTGCTCTCTGCATTTCCTCATGTAGACGAGTGTGGTGTTTGGAAGTAGAATGAGGCTTCAGAGTTGATGTCAGCGGTAAGAGAGGTCTTGCAGGTTTGCAATGAGCTTTGTGAGGGTCTTCAACATTCTCCAACCATTCCTTGAAGACTTCATTCTCCAACCAGGTAGGGCGGAACTTCCGATTTGGGGCCATGATCAGGATCAGGAATACAGCAGCGGTCAGAGCCTAGAGGAGACAATTCAGAAATGTGTTATGGTTGAAACAAAACCATATATACCAATTATTCATTACATGTAATGACACAACATTTGATATTAGTACTTACAGTTGGTGTCGATCTCTGAAAGTTAGAGAGGAGCATGTTTCCATAGCTAACTCTCAATAGCTTCTCGAAAATACAAACGTTGTATGAAAATATGCAAATAGTTTTCATCAAATTGTTTGTAGAATAAATGATTCAAACCATACGAAATCTTTATTTATTGTGCAAATATCAGCAAAGCCATTTACTATGAAAAAAACTTAAAATACATTTTTTGCGAACATTTTGCACGCATTTGCGTGCTGTGGTCCGCAAATCTGCGGGTGTTACTTCCCGCGCTTCAAATGATCGCATAGCAGACGAAAATTGTATGCATCGGTAACACTGTCGCCCAGCTGGGCTGAGAACGGGAAGCGTATGATACCCGTCCGGCTGGAGAACGATCATTTTTTCGACCAGTATTATACATCGTAAAACTCCGTAAGATCAACAATAATAGGTAAATAATAGATGATAATATACAATTACATCGTACATGATTTCATGTGCCAAAAAAAAAAAAAAATAAAAAAAATAATAATAAAGGAAAGAAGAAAAAAAACTCGCGATGTTTGGTTCCTTCACATTTTTATGCATAGCACACCTATTTTCAGTCCAATTTTAACATATGGCTCATTTTGAAGCTGAATAGTAGATCTTATTACATGTTGAAATAAGAATTTGCAATATTTTTGTGTGCGTCTTATAAAAGTGACATATTTTCAGTATCCCTTATAAAGGTGTTGGAATAGTCGCCTTCGTAAAATATTCACACATCCATAATATAAAATAAAATAAATAAATAATAAATAAACAATAAATAAATAAAAACAAACAAATAAAGTCGACTTCCACGTATTAGCTTCTGCATATCATAGTAAAAAAGATTGTTCTATTCTCATATGAAATCAGAATGGCTGTTTTTTATGATTTTTTTTTTTTTTTTTCTAATGGTCAATGTAGGCCTATAAACACCCAAATCGCTGCTAACCTGCTACACCTAGCTATCACCATCCATTATCGCCATGATAATGATGTGATGATAATAATGAATAATAATATAATAATAATAATAATAATTAGAAACCGTTAGGTGCTGTCAATGTCCCAGGTAGACTAATCTTATATCCTTCTTTTCTAATAAAAAAAAAAATAATCATGAAAAGATGAAGAAAACGAAAAATGTCGATATCTCGAAACACTACCTTATGGGGGGGGGGGGGGCAAATTCCCACGGACATAAATTATGTCCGAAATTAACATATTGTGGCTCATTTTGTAGAAAAACAAAATGTCAAATAAAATTTAAATATTTCTCATTTTTAGATGTGGAATCCCTCCCCCCTGCTGCATGAAAAAGAGAAAATAATAAAAAAAACTAAATTTTCGGTTTTGGATGATAATTCAAAACCTTTTTGGCCAATTTCGAAAAAAAGGGTGTGTTTCATCAAATTGTCTAGAAAAATCGAAAAATGGAAAAAAGCCAGTCCCCTTTAGTTTATGTTATGTACTATGAATAAAAGACGAAACCTTATCTGTTTGCCTTCAACTTCGGCACTTTGCACCCGTAAAATTACCTGAAAATGTCGTCTGCTAAAAAATGCAATTGCAGCGCCGCCACACGTCTGTGACATTACACCATGGGAAAGGCTTGGTCAGTAGCAACTCGAGGTGTCATGATGTCTGATTTTAATGTCACAAAAGTTGTGATTCTATTAAAGAAAAAAAAAAAAAAAAAAAAAAAAAGCACATTGGGTTTATTATTCATTTTGATCTTTTCAGCTTGCAAAATAAATAGAAAATAAGGATTTTAATGTTTATATTTTCATTGAACAATCATCAAAATAGCCCTGTGGATAAGTGTGGGATATTATGTTTATGCATGTAAGTCTCTTAAGTGGAATTGCTCGCAGTGGGAGACAAGGCATAGGCCTATATTTATTTTAAGGGGGTTTTACACGGTCAAACATGTTGGCCAACACGCTCATCAAACCTCCAACACAACATGTTTGAAGAGTGTTTACACGTTGAAACCAAACTGACAGACAACCTCAGTCGGTGCCAAAAGGAGAAGGAGCAACATGTCACTTACCACAGACGAGGTGATGGCAGTCGGGATAGTGATTGCCCTCAACGAAAAGAAAAGGAAGCGTTCAAAGTGGACAAAGGACTGGTTGCTGAAAAGGGACCAAATTTCACATACCAACTTAATGAAAGAGCTGAAATTAGACCCAGATGAATGGCGCAATTATATGCGCATGGATGAATCAACATATTTAGAACTTTTGAATATGGTCACTCCATTCATTACATGTAAAGACACCGTAATGAGGAAGTCCATTAGCCCTCATGAACGGCTGATCGCAACACTGCGTTTCTTAGCAACAGGCCGATCTCTGCAAGACTTGAGATTTTCAGCTGTAATGGGAACTAGCACCTTATCCAAGATTATACCAAACTTGTGTTGCCATCTACAAAGTACTCAAGAAGGATTATTTAAAGGTGGGTTATGATATGCAATATGTAATGTGCATTTATTGAGGAAAATCAGTACATAGTAATAGTATGTGAAAAATACTGAAACCTTCTGTTGAAATGTCCTATGCTTTCTAACCACAGTGTCAAGCGAAAGGACAAAACCCAAATCAATCCAAAATTATAACCCTTTATATCTCACTCTTTGATTGCCAGACACATATGAAATTGTTACAAGGGCTGAAAATTGGCAAAATAGTGACATATTGGAATCACTATTAGAATTATCGCTTACATGAAAGGAACTTGACGACTGTGGTACTGGTGTTGCAAATGATTCATGTGAATGGTATGTGTTTGTTACAATTTTAGAATAGGCAGACAAATTCCCATTCTCTGCTTCAAAAAGCACATCATTTATCAGTTTCCTAGCACAGCCTGCTGTTTTCTTGTCCAGGGAGTCGAGTGCTTGGCCTACGTACTTCCCAAATGTCTCATTAGGAGTATCATGTCTCTCAGATCTCTCTTCTAAGTTACGAGCGACCAGGTTTAGAATGTGATCTGCCTTCGTAGTGTTTCCCTGCTCCGTTTCACTACAGGAGCATTGCTGCATGAAGGTATTTCATCATCAGCTGGTGGCTCAGCAACACTCTAGAAAGGAGAACACTATAAATATAGTGCAAGTCTCTCTCTCTCTCTCTCTCTCTCTCTCTCTCTAATAGCCTTGTATCTTTTATCTGTTTCAGTTTCCGGCAACAGAAAAGGAGTGGAAGACTGTTGGAGAACAGTTCGAGTTTAGATGGAATTTTTCCCCACTGTCTCGGTGCTGTTGATGGAAAGCATGTATGGATAACGCCGCCATCAGAATCAGGGTCTTATTATTGGAATTACAAAGGATACAACAGTCTTGTGTTAATGGCAGTTGTAAATGCGAACTACGAATTCATTATGGCAACATTGGAACTAATGGTCGCGTATCAGATGGAGGAGTCATTGATAATACAGAATTTGGTAAGCGACTCAAAGATGAAAAGCTCTGCATCCCACATGAGTCAGTAACAGCTACTTCAAATTGTGTTTTGCCATATGTATTCGTGGGAGATGAGGCCTTTGCATTAAGGACAGATTTCTTGAAACCTTATTCTCAAAAGGACCTACATAGTGAGACGCGAGTATTCAACTACAGGCTGTCAAGGGCACGGAGAGTGGCAGAAAATGCCTTCGGCATTATGGCTTCCAGGTTTAGAATTTTCCACACTTGTATAAATCTCAAATTGACAAGTATTGACAAAGTTGTCATGGCATGTGTTGTGCTACATAACTATTTGCGGAAAGCATGCCCTTCAGACTATTCCCCAGAGGACTGCTTCCATAGGGAGGATAGAATGTGCAAAATGATTTTGCCAGGCTTAACTGCAGATCCTTATGTAGCAGGTTTGCAACACGGTCAGGGATCACGAAACTATCCTGAAATTGCAAAGGTAGTAAGAGATAGATTTAAGGATTACTTTGTGAATGCCGGTGCAGTAGCATGGCAAAAAGACTTCATATAAATCATGAAAATAGGAAAGGCTAGTCTACACCTTCAAACTCAAACTATACAGTCTGATTGGAATTGGCTTAAATAGTGTGCTGTAATTTTTTTTTTTTCAAAATAAATGAATACAATGGTTATGATAAGTTTAATTGATTCATTATTCAAATGGCTGGCTCAAGTTTAGCTTCAGATCCAGATTGACATGTTGGATTCTTAATGAAATGATGATTCATAATACAAAATTGTCTGAAACTTCAGACTAATATACCAGAGAAGTCAGGAGATACATTTTACAACCTACAGATTATATGAAAGCACCCATGAAACTGAATAAAGTCATCTG